TACTTGTCATAATTATCATTAAAAATACAAACTGATACAAATATTGAACAGTTGTATGTTATTTATTTATTTTATTCAGTTTTCATGGCTAATTAAGAATGTTTAAATTTAAAATGATTGATAAGTTTCATTCTGTAAAAAAGTTCATATACCATATAACAATACTTGAAATAATTTTGATCACAAAAATTATGTAAAAATTCGCGTACACTGATCAATTAATTTGTTATTTTCATGATAAAATCGTGAATTGCTTTAATTATTTCCAATAAAAGTATAGAATAGTATATAACACAATTAGAATATATAGAAATTTATGTAGCAAATATGAAAATGTCAAATGTACCACAGTGATCAAAGTCAAAAATAACTTTTGTTATTGTTTTTCTACTGCAATTATTAAAAAGTTATTATGGCACAGAAAATGTATATTATAGACTAGTAATGGATTTAGTGAATATATTTATATTTAATTAAAGTATCAGTTTGCATTGTATTTTTGAGCATATAAATTGTATTAAACTAAATTACAAACTAAAATCTCACTAATTTGCATGTTATCAAATTAAAAAGTGAAACTAAATCATTCTTTGACAACTTGCATTGGTTTAGATTTAAAGTATAGCTTTGAAATTGCTAAATAATAATAATAATAACAACTAATAAAATAACAATAATAATAATAACAATAATAATAATAATAATAATAATAATAATAACTGAAGAATGCAAATATTGCACGTTTAATATAAAAATTATATTTTATACATTTCATTGTCTTTGCGATTGTTTCAATTTGTGAGCTAACCATTCATTTATTACTTTAATTTTTTCGTTCATTTTTATCAAATAATTTTTAAAGAATTGTTCTCCAGACTATTTTTCTATTTGAAAGTTTTGCCTGACAAAATGTCGCCAAAAAATGAGCAAAAAATTGCCTACTTATTGCTCATTTTCAACATTGTAGCACTACTTTTCTTAGCAATCTTTCATTGTTTTAATCTAAAATATAATTATTCACTAATTTACTATTAAATTTAACAAATCTTTGAATACTTTGCATTACTTTTATTAATTTTATTATTAATTGCTTTAATGTAAAGTAATAAATTATAGAATTAATAAAAGCATTTAATCTAAACAGAAATTTTGCTAATCAAAAATTTCAACAAATTGTGCAAAAATTTAATAACAAACTTTATGATTACTATTAGTCTTTGTTTAGTAATAATTGACAAAATTTGCTTGTTTTCGTTATTAATATAATTTATAATGCATAGATTATTAATGGTATTTGTAAAAGAAAATTTCACTCAAAGATTTTATTCTTTATTTAATTATTAATCAATTAATAGTCAAAATGGAGATTACTAACAATTTGATCTGATATTTAAATTAGCTTTGATCGGATCAAAGCAAATATTATACCCAAAATACTTAGTAATAACATACATTACAAACTCAAAAAACTATTAACTTTTTTCATACTTAAAAAGAATTGTCTTTTTCGATCTTTTCTTTTTATTATTATTTTCCACTTCATTTCTTGCACTCTCTCAGCAAGTATAAACGTCCTTTCATATACTCCTTTCCATTACTTTTCAA